GATGATTTGAGAATCTGCTTTTGTAAAGATCACAATCTGGGAAATCTGCTTTTGTTAAAGATTACAATCTGGGAAACCCTGAAGGGCAGTTCTCGTGTGTCATCAGAATCAACTCTGTGGTGCCCGGTAACAGTGCTCCTTGGCCTGCCTATGCCGTGGGTGGTAATGGTCCCTCTTTTTTGGGGGGGCATGGGGTCAGGTTGCTGCTAGTCGTTTGCTCTCACAGACAATGTGGTACCTAATATCCTTGAGCCTGAAACACTTTGAATTTATTCGAGCATGTCTTTGGGGTGATGAAGGGGGGATGGTGGTGGTATGCTGTGGAGTGGGTTCTGACTCACAGGGACCCCCCGTATAGGGTTTCTGAGGCTGTAAATCTTTATGTGTGCAGAAAAAGCCTCATGTCTCTCCTGTGGAACAGCTGATAGCTTCGAACTGCTGAAGCCTGACTTGTAATCACTATGCTACCAGAGCGTGGGCTTTCAGGGGGGACAATTAATCCCTTGATAACCAGTTCTCTTGTTTCTCATCCTCCCTCCCTCCTCCTTTTGTCTCATGCTTTGAGTTTCTAAACTTGCTGGTGGTGATGGCTGGATTTCGGCAACCTGCCCCCTTGGGAAATCAGGGCTTTTGATATCTTTGTTTTGCAGAAGTTCCAGATAAAGAAACAAACCTTGACAGGTTTCTATTTCATTTTCTCCAGTGTCGGGTTTCACCACTGGAGGGAATGTGGTTTTCTGCTAACGTTTTCCTGGTCCGGTCATCCCCTTCTCCCGAGGCCCTAGAGGATGGAGAGGTGCCCCTTGTGGGTACTTCGATTTGGAAGTGAGTGCCCACAGCACACAGGCTTGAGGGATCAGGCTCTGAGCACCTCTGAATAAGGAGTCTCCATAGCCCCTGCCTCAGGGAAATGGAGTAGTGATGTGTGGTACTGTGGGTTAATGCGCTCGACTGGAAGGCTGGTTTGAACCACAAGCTTGGCAGTTCATGCTCACCAGCTGCTCCTTTGAAATACCCTATAGAGGGTCGCTATGATTCGGAACTGACTTGATAGCATTTAACAACAGCACTATAGTCCCTGCCTCATGGAAGTGGTCAGTGAGCATCTTAGACCCCTGAGCCCTCTTCATCGTGGAGGGCATTTGATAAGACTTTGTGGATGGAGGGGGAGGGGAGCTCTTTCTCCTCTGCCAGCTCCCAATTTATGCTGCTCGCTGGAGCTCAGGACTACAGAGAAACGCACTGAAGATTTTCCGCCTACCTGTTGCAAGCCTGTTTCCTGCATCTTTCTCTTGATTTACCTATTCCATTTGCGTTCAAAGGAAGAGGCCTGTTTGAGGACTGATGGGAAGTGATGGAACTTGGCTTCCTAAGGAGGTACCAGCTGTGCGCAGGGTAATCTGGATGCCTTGAGGATTAGCTGCGATGTGGGGGTGTCACATGCACGGTTCTCTGCCTCCCCGCTGCTCTTCCTGCTGTGCACTGCCATTCTCAGCATCTTGGTTCCTAACTCAGCTGTTTGGGATCTCCATCCAGGAGGGCCAGGCTGCAGCCAGAGCTCCCTGGGCTACGTGACCTAGGGTGAGCTGTTTCCCTCAGCTGCTCAGTGGGGCAGGAGTGGTTCCTGGGGCAGGACTCCCAGGTGCTCACAACTCGGGGGTGCACAGGCTTTTTCAGGGCTGTGCTGCCAAGGGTCAGCTCCTCATATCATGAGGCCATGGAAGCCCTTCTGGAATTGCAGAGAAGCTGAGTGAGGGCCGGAAGCCTGAAAGCATCACCTTCAGAGTGGTTTTCCAACAGGGTTGTTAAGGATCGGGGGTTTTGTCGTGTGGGAGGTGAGGTACATGCTTCCTGTGGCCCCATCTGACTGTCTTGGGAACGTGGACTCAGGGCCCGGCTATTAGAAGGCGTTCAGGAAAGACTTGCTGAGTGAAGTGAACAATGAAGCAGTTTGGAACTATGGCTCACCAGGTTGACTCTTGTGTGCACTGCAGGCCTCCTGGTGAACTTGAGAGGACTCATGCCAGGGCCTACCCCCACTCTGATGACCTGTCCTACCTGCTGGAATGCAGCTCCTACCTACTTTGCTCCATGCCCATCCCTCACAGAGGGGTTGCCACCTTTCACACCCACTGCAGTGTAACCCAAGAACGTCTCGACATTTCCTGGGGACTTATTGTCTGTAAATGATAAAATGCACACACATGTTCCTGCAGATGATACGGTCATGTGGAGTTTCTGAGGAGCAGCTGGTGGGTTTGAACCGCTGATCCATTGATCTTGTGGTTTACAGCCTAGTGCTTATCCTACAGCCATATAATTAATTAGAAAATATTTTTAAAAGCAGCATAAATAGTAAGGCACACTTAGCCCAGCTCCCTGCCACCCCGTGGAGACTAGTACCATTACCAGTGTCTGTGTGTCCATCTCTCTGGCACCTTTTCAAAATATGAGGGTAATAATCCCCCGCCTTGTTTTTACTTATTTATTTTTCAGCATAAGGTGTTTTTTTCTTTTTTTTTAATGTTTTATTGTGAATTATGTGCTCATTTACATGGGAGAATATTAGTTTTACATTCATCCTATCATATATCGTTTCATTGCCATGGTTACAATCCCCTGCATGCATCATCAACCAACCAAAGGTTGCAAGCCTGCCCCCCGATTGCCAGCACACAGCCCCTCTCCCTCTCTGTGTCCAAAGTCCCCAACTGCTCCATCGCTCCACGTCATCGTCTCTGCCTCCATCTCTGGTGTCACTGCTTCTCTGGGTAGGGTTCCGCTCTCTGCTCTTCTCCCTTGAAGGTCCCAGGGACCTCCGCTCCTCTCCTAGACTGAAAAGTTAATCACTCCCCTCCTTGCTAAGAAACATCTACCTTTACATTTCCAACCCTCACAATCAGTCCTGATAACAATTATTCACTATTGTATCACAAGAGATCTATCCGCATTTCCTTTCATCAGCCCCAC